AGAGAAATACGATAACCATTACGGTTATCGCTTACTTATTATGGTTACTGGGACTTTGTCCTTGTCCTGTTTGGTACGCTCGAGAGAGCTCTTGTCCTTCGGTGTCGATGACACCGGAGTTGTGTGGTCGATCTCCATTGCCTTGTCTGAGGCGCTGGAAGATCGAGAGTGAGGCGCTGAGAAACGGATCTCAGGCCTTGGCACTCTATTGAGTTTAGGGCCCAGGGAGACCGGAGTCTGCGGGCCCTTTGATGTGCATGGAGCAGCTGGCGCTGCTCCTTTTATGGGGGAGGTTTGAGTCACCACAGGACCACTGGGTGTGGTAGCGGTCGACTCCTGAGGCCTTTGTGACGCTGCCCCCGACTGCGTCACATCGGCGTAACTTCTGTGGAAAAGGTATGATAGCCGTGTTCGCGCTTCGCTGAATGATATTTTTTTTTTGACGGTCAGAGCGATCACTTCTTTTTCTTTTTTCCAACGTGGGCATGACCGGGAATACGCTGGGTGTTCCCCGTCACAGTTAACATAGTGGGGTGAGGATGAGCAGTTTTCTGATTTGTGGTCGTTTGCGCTCCATTTTGCGCATGTTTCTTTGCTTCTGCAAGAGTGCGAGGCGTGTCCGAATCTTTGACATTTGAAACAGCGTCTGGGGTTGGGAATGTAGGGTCTGACATTTATTTTTAAGTACCCAGCCTTAAGAGAGGTGGGCATTTCACATGTTCCAAAGGTTAGTATTACGTGTTTGGTGGGCACTTCCTGATTATTGCAACGAATTACAATTCTTTGGACTTTGATGACGTTTTGGTCTTGGAAACCTTCGAGGAGCTCTTCGCCACTAAGGCCTAAGAAGTCTTCCTCAGAGATTACTCCCCTGCTGGTGTTTAGAGAGCGATGGACCGAAACGGTGACAGCTGTTTCTCCAATGCTGGTTAGTTGGGATAGCTTAGGCACTTGGTCTTTTTTGGTTAGGTCCAAAAGGAGGTCAGCACTTGACACTTTGGATGCTTTGAATGTGGGTCCTATTTTTTTCTTTTAGGCCCTTGGCCACCAAAAATGGGGATAATTTTCTTAGAGGTGTGCTGTCACTGTAGATAATGAGGTACTTCGCGAAAGGAACTTTAGTTTCTGTCGAGACATGATAACTTGCTTCGGTGCGACCTCTCTTACGAGACCGATCAAGGTCGGCGGATGCTTGTAAAGCCATACAAGTATGAATGTGTTCGGTAACAGCGGCGACCACCCACCACGGATCCCAACAAGGGGACGCGGTTGGACTTGTTGAAACAAGCCCTTCCGACGCCAGCCGTACGCTGTCACTATAACCCAATGTAATTATCCAACGTGGGATACCTACACAAGGTTAACCCTTGCCGCCATGAATATCGGAAGTCAACATAAGTGAGGAGAGGACAGGAAAGATAAAAGTGTGAGAAAAAGACGAAGATGTCGGAGGAGAGAGACAGGAAAAGGCGACTGCCAATTTCCCCTGGATGGGTCAGCCCAGGGGTGCCGTCTACGTGAAGCCGGGGCCAAAGGGGTGTGTTGCCTCTGCCGGGGGGCCTTAAAGGTCCAATCACCAAGCGTCGGCTCAACGCCCAGGATTCCCTTTTCCCCGGACACGGCAAAGCCACGCACGGCTAGGCATGGGAGGGAGCCGAAACCCCCCCGTTAGCTCGGGTCCATGGTGTCGCTACACAACAAACGCCTACTTGCGCAGGCGCCCCTGCGGGGGCCACAGAGGTAAGGACGAAACTTTGACGTCGCCCAGATGATGGGCAAAGCACTCCTTTTTTGTTGTGGAATAACTGCTTTCTGCCTTAGATTGCGATCGGCTAGCGTAACTGATAACCCTTTCCAGTCCACCAGTCCTCTGCACAAGGACGGCACTGAGTCCTACGCTGCTTGCGTCAGGGTGTACTTCTGTTTTGACATTTTTATCGAAATGCATGAGTACCGGAGGCATCTGCAGATGTTGTTTTAGTTCCCGAAATGCTTCCTCCTGTGGCATTTCTAACTTGAACTCGACGTCGGTCCTCGTAAGGTTAATGAGTATCTCGGCGATGGGGGCAAAGTTTCAGAAGAAGCGCCTGTAATAGGCGCGTAGGCCAAGAAACCGACGCACGGCCTTCTTGTCGCCGGGTGGCGGAAATGCGGCGATGGCGGCTGTCTTCTGTAGAACAGGTCCTACTCCGGACTTGCTTATCACGTGACTCAAAAACAAAAGTTCCTCGTACGCGAAGCGGCAATTTTCTGGCGTTAGGGTGAGTCCGGAAGTCTTGATGCCTTGAAGTACAGCTTCAAGGCGCCTAGGAGGCTCGTCGAAGCTCAACTAAAACACGACGACGTCTCTCAAGTAAATGAGACAGATCTGCCACTTCAATGCTGCTAGCTCTCTGTCCATAACGCGTTGAAAAGTCGAAGGTGCCGAGCGATGACCGGAGGGCATGACCTAAAACTTGAAAAGGCCATTTGGTGTTATAAACGTCGTCTTTTCTAGGTCTCCCTTATCGACTTCAATTTGTCAGTAGCCAGTCTTGAGGTTCATCTACGAAAACTACTTCGTGTTGTGGCGTCATCTCCGAGGCGTCGTCTATCCGTAAGAGATCGATAAACATATTTTTGTGATTTTGTTGAGGCTGTGATAATTGACACAGAAACGTAGGGTTCCAACCTTCTTGTTCAATAACACCACGGGTGACGACTATGGACTCTTAGACGGTTGGCTGATGTCATCACGTAGCATTTCGTCGGCTTGTCCTTTTACGGTGTCGTGTTGTCGCGCCGAAACTCTGTAGGGGCTCTGCCGTAGTGGTCTGGCGCTTCCCTCTGTTCTGTGTGCGATGTTTCGCCAACTAGGGTCTGGCGAATTTTCGATGACAACAAAAAGCACTCCTTGTATTGCATAGAGCTGGGCATTGAGCTGTTCTGGCTTATGCTTCGGAAGCCTCGGATTGACGTCGAAAGCTTGGTGAGGAGCTTCGTTCCATGGAGTAGGTTCTGCAGAATCCATGAGGGAGAAAACATTCTTGGCTTCCATAATTTGGTTGATGTAGGCTCCCATTGGTTCACGTGTTTGTACTCGTTGCTGAAATTCGTGAACATAACTGTTGTTCCTGCCCGCAGACCAGCGATTCCTCTTGCAACACAAATATCGCAGTTAACCAATAGGTGCTGATTGCCTTCAGCTACGCCTTCGAAGTCTTCTGGTTTTGGAGTGCCGACGGAAATAACGCCACGTCTTTCTGATGACGTGTGTGGCGGTAGTGCTTTTTCTGTGAATAGTGTTAGCGACTCTATTCTCAGGTCGATAACCGCACTATGGAGGCTTAAGAAGTCCATTTGAAGACTGACATCTCTCGAGCAATGCTGCCGCACGACGACGCTTGCGCAATAAATGCGGCTGTTAATGGTCACTCTGGCGGCGCAGATTCCTGCTGGTGTTACTCGGTGACCTCCGGCTGTACGGATTTCAGCGCCTTCTCAAGTGGTGCTAACTGTCTTCAACTTCCCGGCGCAAGTCCCACTGCATGACGAAATAGTCGGCTCCGGTGTCGACGAGACCCGTGACGCTGTGGCCGTCGATGAGAATGTAGAGGTCGCTAGTTCGTCGTCTAGGATTGCGGTTGGGTCGTGGCGTCGGATAACGGCTACGACAGTGTGTACCACTGTTTCGATGTTGCGTCATCAGGTCTTCTTCCCACCATGAAGTTTCGAGAACAGGACTACGTTGACGTTGCGGCGGGTTCTTGAAATTGCGTCACGGCGTCGTCATCAGCGGTAGAGGATCTTCAGTTGTTTGTCGTGCAGCTACCACACCTCCATCGATTGCTGTCCTTAGTTTTCCTAATACAAGCTAGGCGACCGGCCCCGGGTCAGGCCAGTGTAAGGCCGGATGAGGCAACATGTAGACTTGGTGAAGGTTACGCGAAGATGCTCGGGGCGTTCCCTGTGCTGCTGCGAGGTAGCCAGCGATGTCGCATGGTCTGTCCCCCGCTATAGACGCGGTGCGTCGATAGCGAAACCACGCAGTCCCATTTAGTGGTACTGGAAGTGGTGGTAGATGTGCCCGGCCTCAGCGCAGTGGTAACAGAGTGGGTGGTTGTCAGGTGCACGCCAAATATCGTTTTTCCTCGACGCACTGCGCTGTCCCGCTGGCGAACGGTATGAAGTCAGTGGTGCTGGTGGCCTGATATGTCTTGGTCCGCAATACTCCTGTCCTGGCCTCAAACAGCAGAGAACTACCCCGAGTATTATCATATACAACCTTTCCTTGGCAATTTCCTGCTTAAAAGTTCGATAGATCTATAGTGCAGACTTGTTAATCATGCCAATTTTCCACACGTCAGTCTCCGTTTCCTTCACTTTCTTCTTAGCTGATAGTTCTGTAATAACCGGATAGTCCTGGGCCATGCCGGTCGCTGGACCGAATCACACACACGTACGTTGGCGGGTTCCACACTGACTGGCTGGTCATGTGCGCCATATTTATTTCCTTGCAACATCGACGCCCCCGGGCGCCGGAACGGCAAACTAATCTTATCACATCCCTCCCCCCCTTTATTAATGGCTGCAAACAATTGTTTAAGGTGCGTAGCGCGATACTGGTCGTCGAATTCTGGTACTTCGACGCAGGACAGGAGTACTGGGTGCTGTGACAGCAAGTTCCGGTTCCCTCACCACGTCTTCCCTGGGATCTTGCCTAGACTGTGTCGTGAAGACGATCCGGAGATAGCTGCCTTTGACCTACGTCCAAGCCTGGAGAAAGACCAGTTAGCTGCGTCTGACCCACGTCCAAGCTTGGAGCAAGACCGGTAGATACTGGGCTGCCTGATCTTTGGTTGTCTGCACTCAGTTCCTCAGGGGCCTGGCGGATGTGATCCAGATGTCGAGTTAACCATCGTCCGTCATCCAGTAGAACATCCATGGACGAAGTGCGTTGTTCGGTGACGACTGCAGGTAGCCACGCAGGCCCTGGACGGAAGTTCCTTGCGAACACCTGGTCACCCGGGTGGCAAAACCATGGGTCTTGTTCCTTGGTCGCATCTGATTTTCTGCTTAAGTTGCTTCTGTAGCACCTTGGTCCTGAGGTCTGGGTGTAGCAGGTCCAATGCAGTCCTCAGCTTCCGCCCGAACAACAGCTCCGACGGACAGCAACCCGTGACTTCGTGAGGCGTTGACCTGTATGTCAGGAGCATGCGGGCAATTTGAGTGCGACTATCACCAGGGCCAGCCTTCCGCAACTTGTTTTTGACAGTCTGCACGGCCCGCTCTGCCGCACCGTTCGACGCTGGATGATACGGCGGCACCAGCATTCGCCTCACCCCGTTTTTCTTGAGGAATGTGGAGTAAAGCTCACTGGTAAATGCTGGCCCATTATCCGACACGACCACATCTAGAAGGCCTTGGTTTGCGAACATACTGCGCATGCAGGAAATAGTTGCTTCAGCCGAGGGTGTAGAGACCGAGAACACTTCAATCCACTTCGAAAACGCATCGACTGCGATAAAAAATTGGTGTTCCTGTAAGGACCGGCATAGTCCACATGCAGCCGTGACCACGGTTTCTCCGGGAACGGCCAGGGCATGACAGGCACTGGTCGTGACACTCTTTGATGCTCCTGGCAAATACGGCACCTTTGAATGGTTATCGTTATATCGTTATCCAGGCTAGGCCACCACCCATGGCTACGCGCAACTGCCTTCATTTTGGACAGTTCTGGATGACTCTCATGCAGCTGCTGGAGGACTTCCTCTTGCAAGGATTTTGGAACAACGACTCTGTTGCCCCACAATAGACAGTTCCCTTGCACGCTCATCTCATGAAAGCGCGTCTCGTAGGGTCTTCCCTCTGACCCTAGGTTTATCTGGCAGCCTGACCACAACGCTTCTCTTACTTGTGACAGCACCGGGTCTCTGGAGGTGGCTGCCGCAACAGCATTTGACGACAGCACCCCTGGGTATACTCCTTCCAGCATTAACACTTCGGCAGGGCAGTCAACAACAAATTCGGCAGTTGGCAGAGGTAGCCGGCTTAACCCATCGGCATGTGCAATTTGTGAACCCGGCCTATACTTCAGGACGTAACTGTACCCCGACAACAGCGAGGCCCACCTTTGCACTCTCGGAGAACAGGATTCGGGAACTGGCTTGTCTGCTGCGAGCAAGCCGAGCAGCGGTTTGTGATCTGTGACGGCTTCGAATTGCCGGCCCCATAAACACTGCCTGAACTTTGTAACGCCAAATACAAGGCTCAATGCCTCCTTATCTAATTGGCTGTAGTTTTTCTCCGGTTGCCAGGCTGCGGGAGGCAAAACCAATGGGGCGCTCTTCTCCAGATGACTCTCGTTGCGCCAGTACTGCTCCAATCACGAAGGGAGATGCATCAGTGACAAGCACAGTTGGCTTTCCTGGGTCAAAGTGTGCCAATATAGCAGCAGAGGCCAATAGCTCTTTGCTTCTCCGAAACGCCTGCTTTTCATCAGTTTCCCAGCGTCATGGTGTTCCCGACGCCAACAAACTATTGAGCGGCTGTAATACGGCAGAAAGGTTCGGCAAAAACCTTCTGTAAAAATTAACCAACCCGAGGTAACTCTGAAGTTCCTTGACCGCTCGGGGTGCGGGGGCTTCCAGCACTGCTTCAGTCTTAGCCGGGTTTGGACGCAGCCCAGCCGCACTAATGATATGGCCCAAGTACTGGACTTCTGGTTTCATGAATTCGCATTTAGATAACTTCAGTCGCAGTCCCGCGGTCTTCAGGCGATCCAACACTCGGCCCAAATTTTCCCAATGATCTTTGTCACTGGTTCCTGTGACCAGAATATCATCAAAGTACACTACGACATGGTCAAGGTCGTGCAACAGATTTTCCATCTCTCGCTGAAATATAGCCGGAGCTGATGAAACCACGAACGGCAGCCTTGTGAATTGGTATAACCCCTTCGGAGTGTTAATGGTGACTAGCTCTTGGCACTCCTCATCGAGTGGAACCTGCTGGTAGGCATCTTGCAAGTCAAGCATTGAGAACTTCTTGCCTCCTCTAAGTCGCGCAAAATGTTCCTCAATCTTAGGAATAGGGTAGGACTCGACGACTGTCACCGCGTTTATGGTAGTCTTAAAATCGCCGCAGACCCAAACCCGGCCGTCCCGCTTCAATACAGGAACGATGGGCGCGGCCCACAGGGAAGTTTTCACCGGTTTGATAACGCCTTCCCGTTCCATTCTCTGTAGTTCTTCAAAAACCCTATCGCGCAAAGCAAATGGTATCGGACGTGCCTTGACAAAACATGGCTTCGCCCCCTTTTGTACGGATATAGACGCTGTAACGCCGTGAAACATGCCAAGCTGCTCCGAAAAAACTTCGTGATATTGGCTTACCAGGTCTTCCGTAGACTTCACGACGTTGACTCCCTCCGTCTGGGCGATGCCTAGCTTGAAGGCCTTCATCCAGCTTCGTCCAAACAGCGTACGATCACACACACGTACGTTGGCGGGTTCCACACTGACTGGCTGGTCATGTGCGCCATATTTATTTCCTTGCAACATCGATGCCCCCGGGCGCCGGAACGGCAAACTAATCTTATCACAAGTTCTTTTTGGTTTGGCTCCCTGCTGTTTTCTAAGTATTTACCCGTCAATTTTCTGGTTTGCTTCTTCCATTTTGTATCGACATTCTTCATGTACAAGTAGCTGCAAAACCTTCCTAGCCCAACGCTCCCCCCATTTTTCTCAATCGCTTCTCAAGTTTTATCTTGCTGCTAGCTTCCCTGCCTTCAAATGATGTCCATCCCATATCACCTTGTACTCCTGACTTGGTGTATTCCCGTGAGCTCCTAAAGCAAGCCTACCAATTCCACGTTGCTTAATTTCTAATCCTGCTTGAACTTCTGATCTCATGCACAAGACCGCATTGCCAAACGTCAGACCCGGAAGCATGACGCCTTTTCATATTCCTCTCACAACATCACACCTATTGTAATTGCACAGTGCCCTATTTTTCATCACCGCTGCATTCCTGTTACCTTTACTCGTTAGATATATTTCGTGTTCTTTTAGGTACTCGATCCCATTGCTTATCCATACGCCCAGATATTTGTATTTATCTGTCATCTCCAGCGTGTCCTCCTGTATCCTATGTTCAGTACCTTCATTATCACTAAAAATCCTCACTGCTGATTTTTCCTTATTGAATCTGAAATCTAACCTATCCCCCTCATTACCGCAGATGTCCATCAATCTTTGCAAATCTTCCTTGTTGTCGGCCATTAGCACTATATCATCTGCGTACATCAATGCTGGTAGTGCCTGTTCAATAAGTTTCCCTTGTTTGACAAAAAAGAGGTTGAAGCCAAGTCCACTTCCCTCTAATTTCGCCTCTAATCCTTGTAAGTACATCATGAATAACAAGGGTGACGGAGGACACCCCTGCCTAAGCCCCCGTTTCACCTCTGTGGGCTTGGATACCTGTTTTTTCCACTTTATAACTACTTTGTTACTTTTATAGATTTCCTTCAAAAGATTATTGACTCCATCTTCCACACCTAGCATGTCCAGTATTCCCCACAAGTCCTCTTGAACTACACTATCGTACGCTCCCTTGATATCCAAGAATGCTTGCCACAGCGGCCTGAGTTCCTTTTCTGCTATTTCGATGCAGTGCATCAGTGAGAACAGATTGTCTTCCAACCTCCTGTGTTTCCATAACCCATTCGGCAGTTCCCCAGCACCCCCTCATCCTCTATCCATACCTGCAGTCTTTCCTTTATAATCTGCATCGCAAGCCTGTAGATCACTGATGTCACTGTTATAGGACGGTAGTTGTTTATGTCAGCTTTGTCCCCCTTTCCTTTAGAGATCATGCTCATTCTGCAAAGTTTCCATCCATCGGAGACTTCGCCATCGATTATTGTTCTGCTCACTGCCTCTCTCAAAGTCTGTTCAGACTTTGGACCCAATGTCTTTATCAGCATAATTGGAATGCCATCTCGGCCTGTTGATGTACTACTTAGAACCCTCTTCTCAGCCGTTTCCCATTCTCGTTGTGAAAATGGAGCCATTGCGCCACTTGATCCATCCTTGTCTATTGGGTGTACAAGGCACTTCTTCTTCGTTGAAATTTTTCTGTCACCCTTGTTCTTATATATTCAATAGCTTCGTCCCCTTCTAGCCTAGCACCTTGAGCTGTAGTTATAAACCTCTGCTCTAGGCTTGTCTTATTTCTTAGGTAGTTTAGATCGTTCCAAAATTTGGCAGCTGCCTTTCTGTCCTTTTTATGTACTTCTGCCAGCCACTGAGCACCCTTTCTTCTAATCTTTTCATTGATAAGGAGGGATGCTTCCCTTCTAAAGCTTAGAATGATGTCCCATTAACTTTCAATATCATTTGTCGGTTCACCCCGCTGCTTAGCATGTCTGTGTTCCCTAGAGTCTTCCTGACGTTTTGCTATGGCTCTCTTAACTTCCTCATCCCACCAACTCTTGGACCTGTGTCTTCTTTTCCGGAGTGACTAGTCACATGCCTTAGCAAGCTCCAGCCATGAAAGTCTAATTAGATGTGTGTATGTCCACAGTTTTATTATCCTCAGTGATTATTTACTCAATTTGTTTCGTAGCAATTTCTATTTGCCCTTCTGAATGAAAATTTTTGTGTAGTTGCCCATCTCGCCTCCTTTCCACTTTCGCTGCTCTTCCAAAACTTAGCTTTATATATCTGTGATCACTACCTAGACTTCTAGAGCCACCTTCATCTATGTGCATTCCCCTGAGCTTATCATACTGTCACGGGGTCGTGACGTGGCCGAAGACAGGTGAGTTTGCGTTTGAATTTAACTGTTTATTTGGGCGAACCTGTGCCCGGTAAACGGAAAGTCCGATTACAGTAGCAGTCTTGAACTGATAGCGGCGAACGGAGCGTCAGCCGTCGATCAACTACTGACAAGCGGCACAGCGCGTCGGCATTTATACTCTTGCCACCGAATGTTCGAGCGTTATCCCTGGCGGTGGCGTAGGTTCCATAATAATCTGTACCGTTTGCAGAGTGGGCGTGATCTTATCGAAATGATCTACTACAGTCCGGAAGCTTCTCGAAAACTGCAGGCGCGGTTTGCGCTGAGATTCGTGTAGTGTTTTGGGACGATAACAAAACTAGGGAAATGGAAGCTGGTCATACATCATATGTGACATCAGTGCGTAATCTATCGTTGACTGCAGCCTTCATACCCCCCATGTTATTTGCCCTTCACCTTCTCAGTACTCTTGCAAATGATCAAATCATGCCTTTCACACATATTCATGATCATTTTGCCTGTTGAGTCAGTATACCCATCTATATTTTTTATGTGCGCATTCATATCTCCCAGTATATTTTCTCACACTCTCCTCCTAATTCCTCAATGTTCTTTGATATACACTCCACCATTGCCTGGTTTTTTTCTCTGGCCTTTGCTCCCGTCCACAAGTACACCAAACCAAGGATTGTCATCTGCCCAGTGACTTTCCCTCTTAACCATAAATATTCCATGCATCCTTGCTTGACTCTTTGCCAACCCATGTTCTTATGTATAAATGCACCAATTCCACACCCCTTTTTGCTGCCTTTTGTTCTACTGCAATATTCCCATACATAGTCCAGAGTGCTAGGTGGTTGCTCCATGTCTCAAAGATGTGTCTCCACAACCCCATATACCATCAGCTCCTCCTGCCTCAACTGCTTATCTATCTCTTCCCACTTTAACCAACTCCTGCCACCCTGCCAAGTACTGGGACACACAATTAGGAAGACCCTGCCCGGGGGGGGGGCTTTTTTTATTTTTTTGAACAAAAAAGCGCACCTTTCGGAAGGACATGGTCTCCAGCCTTTTCAACTGAACTACCTCTGCATTAGGCAGAGCAGGGTCTGCCGGAGAAAACTTGTGTCGCATGTAGTCGCACACTGTCACAAAGCAGTGCCGAACTGCCTCGAAGAGTTCCTGTTGTTCCTTGGGCTTTAGCTTGTCTTATTTTTGAACAAAGGTGGTGGTCGCCGACTCGGCCCTCCTCAAGAAGTCTTCCGTGTAGGTCTGGTTGTAGCAATGTCCAGCCTGGTCACACTTCGCAAGGAGAACATGTCCGAGAGTTTTGTCGGACATGGACGACCGAAATTCAGTTCTTGTTTTCCTCACAAGGCTGAAGAGACGCTCACACTTGGCATTGCTGTGTGGAATTGACAAAATTCCAAGCATCACCTCGGCGATTCGGCTGAACTTCAACCTTCCATCTGCAGTTCTCAGCTGTGACACCATTCTCCACTGGGCATACACTCGTTCTTCTTGTAGAATATTGGGAGGAAGATCCTGAGCCTGCAACTTAGAAAACTCTACCTCCGGTTTGTCGACCGCTTCCATTTTCGACTCTCCCGGTTAAAAATCGCTTGAAAAGAGTCCACAAAAAAGCGAACCTTTCGGAAGGACATGGTGTCCAGGGTTTTCAGCTAAACTACCTCTGCATTAAGCAGAGCAGGGTCTCTCAGGGGAAACTTGTGTCGCATGTAGTCGCACACTGTCACAAAGTAGTGCCGAACTGCCTCGATGAACTCCTGTTGCTCACTGGGCTTTAGCTTGTCTACCACAGTCCTAGTTTCCTGTCCAATGATGAGGTCCTCGTCCCCTTTCTGTGCCTCCCTGCTATGGTAGTTGAGAAGCTCTGGGCTTCGTTTCAGCCACGATGGGTTTACGAATCTTGAGAAAATGTCTCGAAGAAGTTCCAAGAGAAGCGACCGTAGCACGTGGATCTGGGGAGCTTGTGCTTGCAAGGAGAGGTTCACTTTCTCGAAAATGGGAATAATATTCTGCAAGAAGAGACAATATGCTCGGTTGGTTTCCATGCTGAGGAAAACAAAAAGCCGTTATTCACGTGTTGGGCAGTGTTGGTCAGTCTTCTGTGTGCAAGAAACCTTGGCTTTCTTTGCTGGCACTGAAGGAGCCTGTGTCAAATTCTTTATTTTCGTTTTGCACTGATCAGGCTTTTCTGCTGGAGCTGTTGCTTGCTTTGCTGCTGCCTTTGGGATCTGGTATAGAAAGCTGGGACTCTTTTTGTCCTTCACTTCGTGCAAGAAGAAGCTCAACAGAGGCTTCCACTGATCCAGGAGCCCGGTCAAGCATTTCCCAAGAAATAGCCATCGAGTTGGGACATGTTTCAGGATTTTTCTGAAGTCTGCATCATGAATTTCCTGAAACTGCCTCAAGGCCTCCTTCTTCTTAGCACTCTTTTCCAGGTAATAAAATATATCTACAAGAACTTTAAAATATATCTACAAGAACTTCGTTCACTTCTGCTTGAAGGCACACTGCTCCCTTCTCAGCTGCCAAGTTTATTAAGTGGCACGCGCACCCGATTTTAATCAAATTTACTTGGACTTCCGTCAGCACCGCTGCCACGCCATTTTTTTTACCAAGCATCACGTTGCCGTTG